CCACACACCCCTCCGACCTGCCTCGCCTCTGCCTTCCCAGGACCGGAGGAGCTGGCGAGGAAGTTGCTTGTCGTTACTTCTTAGGCCTCCAAAAGAATTCGGGGCTGAGCTGTGGAATAACGAGATACACAGTTAACTGCAACAAGCGAAAAACAGCCCCCCCTGCTGGTGAGAACAAGCACTGTTTCAAAGTTACTTCCCAAATATTCATTTTAAAGGAATTTTGTAGACACGTTTTAAGTAGAATGTTGGACGTCCTTAGGCCTCTCTGTCTTATCAATGCGACCAGGTCTTCCCCCCTCAAACAAACAAACAAACAAACAAACAAATAAATGCGGGCGTCTGCACAGAATAGGCTAGGAAAGACAAATTTGCTGAACTAATACGGAATGAAGAATTCTCTGTAACAGAAAGCAAGGCTCAGGGAGGGAACAGAGGGACAGGAGATAGTAGCCACAATTAGTAAAGACAGCTACGTTTCTTTTCAGACACTGACCGGGAACTACTGTAGAAGAAATTATTCTCTAGAAGTAATTTAATTTAATTTCCCAAGAGCGAAACAGGGGGCTAAATTTTTCTCACTGCTTCTCCCTGGGTCTTCACAAGCCCCCCTTCCCCAACAGACCAATCAAAACTTATTAGAGACTTTTTTAGGCCTTTTGGACTGAAATTTCCAGGACCATATTATTATTATTTTTAAATGCCATTATCTTTATCCATCTTGACCTGTTTCACTTCATTTTTAAGGAATGGGGAACCAACAGCAACTTAAAGAGACCCACAAAGCGTCCTGCCCAAAATGAGGAGCTCAGCAGGTAACTGATTACTTTTCAGGAGGGTGTTGCAATGGGTTACACGCCACCAATTACTTTTTTAAAAAGTGACTGTTCAAGTTCTCCATTGCTGCTGTAACCCAGCTCAGCAAACTGGGCTCCTCTTTAGGAGGTGTAAGAGTCCACCCCTCCCCCACCCCAAAAAGTAACTTTCCCAACCTCTGGTAGGAACTGATGCAACAGACAGGCGGATTGGGTTGCAGGGGGTGCCAAAGGCTCGGTAAGGAGCAAAAGAGAAGAGGCGTGGAGGCCCAGGCCTGCGTGAAGGCCCCGCTCCCAGCGCCTGCTGCCTGCAAAGGGCTCTCTCCCAGCAGTAAACGGGGAATGCACTCTGCACGTGCTCAGGGGGTGCCCTGTTCTCCCTCTTTCCAGACTTCCACGGTCGCCTGGGGCCACCCTGCCCTCCCTCTCCCTTTGTCTAATGAAACAGATCTCCTCCCCATTATCGTCTCCCCCCAGTTCAACGTCCCCCCCCAAAAAAAGGGGTAAGAGCGCCCACCCCCACCGTAGCATCCTCCGGGTGCCCGGAGTCCCACCCCCAGTTCATATGGGTGCGTGTGTGCCTACTGGCACCCCGGGCGGGGGGGGAGGCACCCCCTTCATTCCCCGCCCCCCCTGCCCCCTCTCGCAGCCCCC